CATCCAGCATCAGCATCCGTCCTCGGAGACACTTTGAGGACGTGACAGCAGCTGTGGAAGAGCTCAGAGATGGACTCCAGGACGTTCTGAGGGACACATGGACAAACATCTCACTGGCCATCACTGACGTGGATGTTCTACTGTCACAACCAGAACCAACGACCAGAGCTGGATTCTTAAAGTATTCACGACAAATCACTCTGGATCCAAACACAGCAAACAGGCGACTGTTGTTATCTGACGGGAACAGAAAAGTGACATTCATGAATCATGAACAGTCTCATCCTGATCATCCAGACAGATTCATTTACTGGTGTCAGGTCCTGAGTAAAGAGAGTCTGACTGGACGTTGTTACTGGGAGGTGGAGTGGAGAGGAAAAGTTTATGTAGCAGTTTCATACAAGAGCATCAGCACAACAGGGACAACATTTGAATGTTTATTTGGATTCAATGACAAATCCTGGGCTTTCGATTGTGACACCGACAGATATGAATTTCTGTACAACAAAACTAAAACTCTCGTCTCACGTCGTCCTTCCTCCAGAGTAGGAGTCTACCTGGATCACAGAGCAGGTGTTCTGTCCTTCTACAGCGTCTCTGACACCATGACTCTCCTCCACAGAGTCCAGACCTCGTTCACTCAGCCGCTACATGCAGGAGTTGGACTTTATGATTCTGGATCCACTTTAGAGTTCATTAAACCCGAATAGACTGAAGTCTTTAACGAGTAGCTGGTCAAAATGTTGGAGTTTCCAGCTGATTCAGTCTCATTATACAGTGTAAAACACCACGGTTTGTTTTGAACAATTCACAGATTTACATTACTGACAACATCTGCTTAGAGCACAGAAAGAAAGTTTCATTTTCATGTAAAAAAAAAGAAAAAACATAGTTCAAGATTGTACATAATGTCCACATCAAAAGTAATTAGTTCTTTTATAAGGTCTGACTTATTGAAGAAATAAATTCAATAATTGCTCTACTCATATTTGACAACAACAACAACAACAATGATAAAAATAATAATGTGAAAAGATGAATTCATGTTTAAAGATGGTTTTATTTTGTTTATTTTTTCATGTCATTGGATTTAGATCAATGTGTTTGTTGTGAAAATCTTTAAAAGTTTAAAGTGTAAAATTTGGAACATTTTACTCATTTATTGTTATTTTACAGAATTTTCCCAAATTTTAAAATTACATATAATTTTTATGTTTCATTTTTATTTTTTTTTACCAACTTTTGCTTCTTTTGTAAAGAAAAATGATATATATTTAGGAATGAAAAATAGTAAATTATTTGTTTAAATGTAATTTTAGTGAAGTAAGTAGTAATGTACATGTAATGCAGAAAAACAAAGTAAATAATGTGGAAAAACATGATTTTATGTAGGAAGATGATTCTGTTTTTATTTTCATTTTATTGTATTTCCATTAATGTGTGTTGGTCTCCACAGTGTAAAATACACTTTAATTTGTTTTGTTATTTTTTAAACTGGAACAATTTACGGCTATTTTACAGATTCAAAGTACTGATAATATATTGCAAAACGACAGAAAAACAGTATTTACCAAAAAAAAATATAAAAAATATAGAATCTAGTACAATCTGTTTGTTTTTGTTTGCTGCAACAATGTGTTCCTTTTTTTCCTAAATCAGCAATATATATAAATATTTGCGGTTATTTGAAAGAAAGGTTTTGTATGTTAAAGATTGAAAAATGGCAAATAGGGTTTAAAACTGATATTTTACAGATTTTGTGTGGGTTTTTTTTGTTTTGTTTTCATTTGACTGAGATGGTTAGTCTAAGATTTGTCTGTGATTGGTCGGTTTACTGAGATGATTTCATGTGAAAAGGTGATTATTTTTTCCCATCTCATTGTATTTCCATTAAGATATACATTGTGAGGGCAAAAAATCTAGTTTTAAGTGTAATTATTTTTCTGATTTACTGATATTTTACAAATTTTTCCCTGATTGTTAAATTACATGTCATTGTTCAGTGATTGTTTTATTTAAACAGGCATTTGCTTCCCATGAAAAGAAAAAAATATGTATAATCAGAATAGAAAAATAATGAATCATTTGTTTGACACGTTTTAGCAAAATCACAGTTAAAAGTAATAATTTACACAGAATCCAAAATAAAAAATGTGAAAAGATGGTTTTATTTTGTTTGTTTTTTCGTCTCATTGTATTTCCATTACTATGTGTGTTGTGAAACTCTTTAAAAGTATTAAGTGTAAATTTTGGAACATTTGACTGATTTACTGATATTTTACAGATTTTTCCCGTTTTGTTAATTCACATGTAAGATTTATATTTGTAGCCAGTAGTGGCACTATGCTTTGTAGTTCAGTTGCACTCTTTAATTTAGTGGCACCGCCTCAGTTCACTAAGGAATGATTGTAAATTAAATCTCAAAGAGACTAAACAACAAAAAAGTTTTGGAAACTGACAGCGAAGGCGCGGTGTAATCGATCTGTTACACAAATCTAATTTCTACTGATTCTAGACGGTTTGGTTTGACAGAATCAAGCGTGCGAATTAGAACTTTAAATGAAGGTGAGCACTACCTTAAGAACAAACCGAAGTCATAGACTAAAATGAAGAACTACAAAAATGAAGATGAATATAAAAAAACGAAAGAAAAACATAGTGATTACCACAAATCCAAATATTAATGTTCTGAAATATCAAAAACCTGGATATCAGTACACTAAATGGTCAACAACCAGGATATTGATGCAATAAATGATCTAAAACCTGGATATTTCTGTATTAAAGTGTCAAAAACATGTATGTTAATGTACTAAAGTATCAAAAACTTGGTTATAAATCTACTAAAGTACCTAAAACCTGGAAATATATGCACTAAAGTGTGAACAACCTCAATATTGTGAAGATTCTCAGTCATCCAGGTCATAGTTATTCTTGTTGTTTACTTGTAGCAACTGGACTTGCTTGAGGTTTTTGAAGACGTTTCATCCAGGAGGCTTCATCAGGTCTGACTGACTGGTTGGGAGTTCCAGATACTGATATCCTAAAGGAGCCATTAACACCCGAGTTTCAGTTTCAGTTGGGGCTTTGTTGCTCCTCCCCCTCATTATGCGAGTTATAAGTGCTCCCCCTGTCACAAAGGAGTTCGTTAGGGTCTTTTGTGACTCGGTGTGGATGTGGGTTCATCTTCCCGGGGAGAGATCCTAGGACTGAACTGTAAACAGGTGAGCGATGATGCCTCAGACCTCCACCTCTACGGAGTGATGGTCTTTCCAATCCAGTGTGACGCAGATGGCTTCTCCTCTCTCAAACCATCTGTCCTCCCTGGCCAAAATCTGTACATTATTGTCTTCAAAAGAGTGTCCTTAAGATGCAGGTGGACTGCTGAGTCCTGTCCTGAGGAGCTGGCTCCTTG